CATCCGAGTGTTCGCAACGCTACTGGAGCTGGCCCTCTCTCCCCCTCATTTTTGGATAGCGCCGCCCCTGGCACTGACCGCACGGCGTCCCTGGCTCGGCGACCGCTTACCATCCAGGCACCGATGTTGCGCACGCTCTTGGCCGGCGGCCGCTGGTACACCTTGCACAGCTTGAAGGCGTCGGCGCGAATCTCTAGCAGGTTGTTGAAGACGGCCCAGAAGGCAGCCATCGGGAAGACCGACGAGAAGAGGAAGGCGTAGCCGAACTGCACAAACATCTCCAGGTAGTCGTCCGACGTGTCCTGCGCCGCACGCCGCCAGAGCGTCACACACGCCGCTCGCGGCTCCCGGCCGACGGAGACGCGTCACAGCCAACCTAGTGGCCAACGGTCACGGCTCGGCCGAGGACGGCTAGCGAAGCTGCTGCGTGGTTCTCCGCGAGCTCGACAAGTCCTTGCCACGAACACAAACACGAGAACGCGGGCGTGCGTGTCCATTGCTTACATGTGGCATATCAGGAATGTTTTGTCCCTGACCACGCGTTTCAAGAACTTCGCCGTGACCTGTGCGGGGAGCGACATGACCATCTGTAATTAGAAACACGCACAACAGCGCGGGACGCGGCTCAGAAAACCTGCATCCAAGTACGAGATATCCCAACGGATTCCGCATGCCTCCCCCGTCCCACCCAGCCACACACGCTCCCGTCGCCGGCCATATGCCGTAAACCGGTCTTCACGGGCGCCAGGCGGTTCCGGCACGCATCAGGGGTGAAAGCCCTCCGTTTAACTCGGGCTTGATCCCGGCGTGAAGCTGTGGCGCATTATCAGCTGTTCAGCGGCCATCGCACACTCGGGCCTTCACGTATGCCAAGACCTGTTCCATGAGTCTTAACTGAGGAACTGTTGGAAGGGTTATTAATGCACGCGGTGACGCGCATAATAAGCTTCTTGAGCTGTGACAGGCCGGACCTTCCCGGAGAGCGCCGAGACCAGACTGCGTCAAAAGAAAACGTGATCGACGCTACGGCACCCATCAATCTGATAAGGTCGACGCCAGTTCTGTGGGTAACCCTGTTCATGGCGCTTCGGTGCACGATGGTATTTAGCCATTCCAGAGCTCGAGAAGGCCGCCCACACGCCCACGCCCACACACGCAACTTTCGCCATTCAACTCAATGACTGCATCTCCGTCGCCCTTCACTGTAACATCCCCGGGTTTTCAGCATGCTGCAGTCTGCTTCACCTGCCCTTCAGAGGCCCGCCCCCGGGTTTTCGGCATACTGCAGTCTGCTTCACCTGCCTTTTAGAGGCCCGCCCCCGGGCTTTCAGCATGCTGCAGACTGCTTCACCTGCCCTTTAGAGGCCCGCCCCCGGGTTTTCAGCATGCTGCAGACTGCTTCACCTGCCTTTTAGAGGCCCGCCCCGGGTTTTCGGCATGCTGCAGTCTGCTTCACCTGCCCTTTAGTGCCCCCCCCCCCTCCCCCCCCCCCCCAGAGACCCTTTCCGCCGGCCGTATTTCGGGAATATCTTACACCGCGGTACATTCGAGACATTGCTGCGATATGTCAAACCCTGTAGATGCACGCGTCTGCGAGCGGCCTGCTTGTTTGAGCACGTATCTCTCCAGTGCAGGTAACTTCTGGGTGGGCAGCTGGATGGCTGGGCGCTCACTGCCCCAGCTTTTCTCGTCAATGGGATCCTCACCTCTGGATGTGGCCGCGGGAACTGCCTCGTTGTCTGGGGGGGGGAGGGGGGGGGGAGGAGGGGAACTAGACCCCGAAATATTGGTACAATTTTGGCATAAAGTTCATGACGTTGCGCGGGAACGAGGCTACGCAAAACGCCCCTGATCCTAATCTTATCTTGGACAAGTTAAAAACGAAAAACAGACAAACGAAAAAACCCCGCGCTAAAGTCCCTGGCCCTCTGAATATCTGGCTCCAGGTGTAACGTCCATGGCGAGACTGACGAAGGATTTAACGGCACATGTCTTTCTTCGCTACAGAGAGTCGGATACAATTCGCCAACAGCCTTCCTGTGGGGCCCGTTCAGTAAGCTGCTCTAATGCTTTTTTCGTAGACGTACTAGAACGCGTAAATATCTACATCCACCGCCTCCACGACGCCAAATACGACATTTCTAGCTTCGTGCAATTTTAGTGATGGGCCTATGCATTAAGGCTGGCGGCGACTCAAACCCTAAAGCCACGCGTGTTTAACACATCGGTCAATTTTCTATACCACTGTGCACACAAGCAGAGGAATGGGCACTGGTTTCGGGTACCCCCCCCCCCCCCCCCCCCCCTAGCATGTCCCAATGAAGGAACGCACCAAAGAATAGCGTAGCTTTCCTGACCTCGGAGAAAATTCCAACGAAAGAAAGGCTTAGACTCCCAGAACTCTTCTTGCGTCCATCTGGTGGCTACAACGGATGAAAAGCTCTTCGAAATAGGAAAAGGGCAACACAGCACAGTACACCTTATACGGCCTGGGAACGACAAGGTCACAGAACAGGGATTGGTCAGAATACCTCCACCAAGCTGAACTTGTTGGAGCTCCTAAGTCACGCTACAAACGGCGGCAGACGCAAAAAACATCTCGTGGCCGCCCCACCCCTAACGGCCTGCAGTCGCAGCGGCGAAAAAATCACACGTGAACAATCTCCTAAACGAGGCATCGGCATATTACCTGGTGACCTCGAGTAGGTCGCCTGATCACGGCCTCCAGCGCACATGCATGCAATCGACATTGCACCCAGTTGCTGAACTTCATTTTTGGTAAATGCATTTGATTCATGCAACAGGAAAGTGTCGCCTTGCACAGTTATTTGAAAACAATGGAATCACCGGCCGTAACAAGCGGGGCAGCACGTGACACTCCTGGATGACCGGCGTCCGCAGCGGCCGGCCAGGCCAGCGACATAATGGGCCCGCCCTAGTTCCATTTCTGTGGGGAGAGGGGGAGAAGATGGGGGTGACAGATGTCAGCCAAAATTTCTCGACCGCAGTGCCATCAATGGCGGATCCCGAATTTGCGGGATAGCGAAACAAAGGGAGCGGCGGGGCCATGCCGGAAGCATTCTACACATTTCGATGAACCACTGGTCCGTTCCTTCAATTGAAATAACTGTCATCTTTTACGAGGTCAATCGGTTCTCGTTGGGATGATTTGTCGCAGTGTTTCGTGGCAGCGTGCGAATGCTTGAATGGCACTGAGCTGGTCGCAAGGGCAGCGGGCAATCTTCAAAATATCTTCGTTTATTTGCACCACACTGGCAGATATGTCACGCCCCGATTTCAAATTCTTTGTATCGAAATGAAAACAGTGGTTGAAAATCACCGCATTGCTCTAAAAAGTGTCTGCTTCGACTTTAATAGTAGCATAATGACCTTATCTCTCGTTCAGCAATTAGGCAAAATAGATACATGCAATGATATTTTAGCTCTAAGTCTTTGCCGAAACAACTTACAGCTGCAAAAATATCTTGAAAGCTTAGCGAGGAAAAATGGCAGCAGTACTGTTCTTAGGTGCATGCAATGTTCCTTGCAACTGCACTGAAGGGCTTAAGTATGCTTTGATTTTAATCAAATTCTAACATTAACTTGTTCAAACATCTTCTTTTCTTTTGCGTCAACAGATGACAAAAAAAATCGCATGTATTTTTGTTTGCTTGCGTGAGTATACTTGAATCACGCTGAGTTGCCAGATAAGCAAGCAATTCGAATCTACAGTGTCGTTGCCTCGTAAACTATGCTTGATGTCGGACTCAATGGAAAAATCGTGAAAATTTTGTCATTTCAGATTGTGACAACAAGCCAACAGCCTGTTTGCGACAACCCGCCGTGCAAGCGGTTGATTCAGTTCTGAAATACTGAGAGACGGGCGAAAGAGACGCGGAAGGGCCCCACAAGAGCCTAAGCCCCAGCAGCTACACCACACAAGCTTAATCCCGCCACGGACAAGCTGCAGACGAAATGGTCACGGCCGAAGTCTCGGCATTCCCGACGAGAAGGAACGCTGCGGAGTTTCCCTTAAACGTCAGGGGTCTCAGGGCGGGGGGGGGGGGGGGCAGACCGGTCTATTGATGGCGACCTCAAACTGCAAATAGCTGCACGCCGCGCCGAAGCGAGTTCCTCGTTCAAGATGGCCCCTCTCTCACGGGAACGCATGCAATAGCGGAGTCCGACAGAGCTACACCAGCACCAACTGTCAGTCCCTGGACAGACCGAACCAGGAGGCCGGGGTCGGAGCCCGCCGCGCAGTCGGCCGTCCACGCTCGCACCAACTGCCAGCCCCCCTGAACAGACAGAGCAGGGAGGCCAGGGACGGAGCCCGCGGCGCCGCTGGCCGTCCACGCTCGCACGTACCGGGTACCGCTCCAGCTGCAGCTGCTCGTTGACCATGAGCACGCGCGGGTCTTCCGCATCCAGCGTCTTGACCCGCAACGCGCGCGTCGTCGGCGTCCACCGCATCGATGGCGCGACTCTCAAACAGCTGGCGCGTCAGCTTGTGCTCCTTCAGCTTGGTTGACTACCTTCTCCTGGACCTGCAGCACGGGCGGACGGCGCCACGCTCAGCGCCGCGACTTCAGCCGCGCTGGTCTGGGTCTCGACACGAGGGGACATCACGGTCGTTACACACGACCACGCCTTACGTCCATCGCCGCGGAACGGCACAGCCAGTCATCAGTCGGCCACAGCCAGTCGTCAGTCGGCCACAGCCAGCCGTAATAAGTCAGCCAGTCAGTCGTCAGTCGGCCACAGCCAGCAGTCAGTCGGCACAGCCAGTCGTCAGTTGGCCACAGTCAGCCGTTAGTTGCCACAGTCAGCCGTCAGTCCGGCCACAGTCAGCCGTCAGTCGGCCACAGTCAGCCGTCAGTCGACCACAGTCAGCCGTCAGTTACACTGCGCACCAAGGCGGCAGTACGGCTACAGCAGGGCTACAGCAGGCTGCGCTGTCCTCCTCCACCAGGTAGATAAAGGTTCTAGGCAAGGAGAATGTTCGTAGAAAGTATACATTTACGCAGTGGCTGCCATTAACTGTGTGCAGGCCACGTGCACCGGAAATTTGATACACACGAATTGCACTATTCTCCAGCTGGGAGTGAGCGAATTCGGACGACTGTGAAATTCTACGTTGCGTGCCACCACCCAAAACGCCGAAAACATCTGAGCTGCGGGGATCTTAACAACCATGACACTCCGGCTATCCGACGATCACAGCTGTGATACTTTATCACGTCCACCAATTGCCTGGACAACGGAAATATGTGCGATGAAGGGCACACGCACATGCCCCAATTCCTTGAGCTGAGAGCGTGATAACCTCGTCATGCCAATTTCATGTAAAGCGTTGTAAGTTGAAAACAACGATTATCAATGATTGTCATCGATTACGATACCTACTACAGGCCAGTTTGGCGATGATGTCCACAACACAGTGACTGCGATCTTGAGGTCATATCCTGCTACATCAACATGATGTGTCGCTGTCGCTTTTCGTTTGCGTTTACTAGCCTACGGACCAGTGTTGGTGACGACTGTCGGCTGGCCCCTCACCTTGGACCAATGTTGGTGACGACTGTCGGCTGGCCTCTCACCTTGGACCAGCGTTGGTGACGACTGTCGGCTGGCCTCTCACCTTGGACCAGCGTTGGTGACGATTGTCGGCTGGCCTCTCACCTTGGACCAGCGTTGGTGACGACTGTCGGCTGGCCTCTCACCTTGGACCGGTGGTGGTGACGACTGTCGGCTGGCCTCTCACCTTGGAATACGTGGTGCGAATGACGATCGGAAGCAGAGCCTCCTGGAAGTTGTGACCACCTGCTGAATTATCAGCATCACGGCCAGTTGCTGAAATAAACACGCCCAACGTCACCTGGCTGAAGCTGGCCACCGATTTGATTAACTGCACCGCCACACCAAACACTATCGACTAACACACAAGCTGTAATTGATGCAGCTCAATTACACACGGTCCATATTCTCAGCACAATTAAGATAACCAATCTTTTAAACATCGATTTCACTGCTCAAGGACAGTGGGTCCACCACATCAACATACGCTACTAAGTGGCTGTTTAGCTTTGAAGCTTTGCAAGATGCACATCTGATTATACGCCTTTTCAGTAGCCATAGCCTCATGTGTGACTGCTGCCGTCACTGGTGGCGCAGTATCCCGCACACCATACCGCGCTGACCCAGTGACACACATGGAGCGTGTGGCGTCACTGGCGGCGCAGTATCCTGCACACCATACCGCGCTGATCCAGTGACACACATGGAGCGTGTGACTGCCGCCGTCACTGGCGGCGCAGTATCCTGCACACCATACCGCGCTGACCCAGTGACACACATGGAGCGTGTGGCGGTCACTGGCGGCGCAGTATCCTGCACACCATACCGCGCTGATCCAGTGACACACATGGAGCGTGTGACTGCCGCCGTCACTGGCCGGCGCAGTATCCTGCACACCATACCGCGCTGACCCAGTGACACACATGGAGCGTGTGGCGTCACTGGCGGCGCAGTATCCTGCACACCATACCGCGCTGACCCAGTGACACACATGGAGCGTGTGACTGCCGCCGTCACTGGCGGCGCAGTATCCTGCACACCATACCGCGCTGACCCAGTGACACACATGGAGCGTGTGACTGCTGCCGTCACTGGCGGCGCAGTATCCTGCACATCATACCGCGCTGATCCAGTGAAACACATGGAGCGTGTGGCGTCACTGGCGGCGCAGTATCCTGCACATCATACCGCGCTGATCCAGTGACACACATGGAGTGTGTGACTGCTACCGTCACTGGCGGCGCAGTATCCTGCACACCATACCGCACTGACCCAGTGACACACATGGAGCGTGTGACTTGCCGCCGTCACTGGCGGCGCAGTATCCTGCACACCATACCGCGCTGATCCAGTGACACACATGGAGTGTGTGACTGCTACCGTCACTGGCGGCGCAGTATCCTGCACATCATACCGCGCTGACCCAGTGTCATACGTGAAGCCATCGAACCCCCTCCTGAAGACTAACCAATCACAAGACCCACGCGCTCCCATGACACGTGTGCCCGAAATGGCTCTACACCCATGATTCTGTCTCATGCGATTACATCCCTCATGCCTCCCTGAGACAAAGCTCCCCGAAACAGCGAGGGACAACGGAAAGACATAGCTTCTCGTGCGAACGGACGGCAGAGCCTGCAACGAATATCCACATTGAGCGATACAGCCAGATAGCTATGGCCTCAGGCCAGGCTGCTATCCGTCGCAACTCAACACGGTGTACTCACGCCTCTCAGCATCTCCAGGTCCTGCATGTAGAAAGCGATGTAGAACAGCGACATGAAGCTGTTGACGAACTCAAAGAGAGCCAGCTTGATCACCCGATAGTAGTCAAACTGCTTCTGCGTGCGATGGTTCTCTGTCGACGAGCGCAAACCGTTCAGGTCCCGACAGCCGATCCAGGCGATCATGGCAAGTCGCAGACACGCCCACACTAGTGACCAGCAGCAACCAGGCGAAAGACCACGTGGTTAACGATCAGATGCCGAAAGACCGCATCTCAAAGGTCGCAAAAGGGCAAAAATCGTGCGGGATAAAACGAGAACCTATGTTGTGGGATTACGAGAGTATGGATAGAAATCGCCCGACAAAAGATCGAACGGAAGAAAGCCCGTACAGGATCAAAGTCGCAGCGGACAAAAACTCGTACGGGTGAAGATCGCATGCCAAAAGTACAAGGCGAGGACGTTACAGTACAAAAGCCATAGCATAACAATGTTCATCCCGACCCTACGACGTTGTACACTTCACTGTCGTTTGACAAAATTGGATACTCGACAAAAATCGTGCGGAGCAACGGCAGCAGTGGTGCGGCGTTCCCAGCTACCGCTTCGCAGGGGCACGCCTCGTGGCCAGTGCCGGAACGATAAACGGCAGCGCCTCCCCTCAGGCAGTGTCTTGTCTTCGTCTGCAATTTTCCCGCAAAGCATTGCAATCCGAAATGCACTCATGACGCAGTTTTCCTAGCGACCTTTATCCCATACGACGGCGCACGTTTTCCTGGCGTTTTTTGTTACCTCGTATGGTATTTTTGCTGCTTTCTCCTTACATTTTTACATACGATTCTTTGAGTATTTTGTCCTTTCCAATTTGTCCTCATGACCCGTCGCCTTGCCTTCTTCCATGCCACATCTGCTGAACAATCCTTACCCTATAGTCCGTGGCGGTCACGTCCCAAACGCCTCGAAACCCAGAGCAACTCTCGTTTGGATGAACCACAACCGCCCATGGCACTTCAACGAGTATACGCAAGCACAGATTTAGTCCACCACGACCCGCCCCGGCTACGAACAGCCGCTTGCTCACCCGCCCTGCTTCTGACATGACCCTCGCCAGCGACCGACTTCTGCCGCCTCCCACGCGCCTCGCCTCACGCCAGCAAGGCTCCTCGCCGCCGGACTCACCCCCACTCCGTGAGGAAGGTGGTCATCTTGTTGTAGTACTTATTCATGACGAGCACGGCCACCGAGTACACGACCGACGGCAGCATGATCAACAGCGCCGCCAGGTTGCCGCCGTACTGGTCGCGGTGCAGCGTCAGGTACTCCTCCACCCAGAAGGAGACTAGCATGAGGTAGAAGGAGCCGAACAGGCACACCCCGACCGTCGGGATGGACACGGCGTACAGCTGCCGGCGGGGAGGCAGCTGTTAGAGACGCTGGTCGACGGCCCACGGTATTCGCTCGTCGCTGACGTCAGTCCACGGTCAGCACCGCAGCGCGCCGGCGTCAGAAGCAACCAACAGACGGCGTGGTCAGTCCCCGCGGCGCCCCGCCCTTCCTGCCAGGGTGAGAGGCAGGCGACGCCATATAGCCTCAGCAGCTGAGTGCGTCGTAAAGCCCCAATGACAGCAACATAAACAACAGACGGCGTGGCGACAACAGCCCGCTGACCAGCTCCCAAGCTCGCATCCGGTCACCGCCCCAACATCTTGCCAGCCTACCGCCGCACCAGTCCCCAGCCTGCGGTGGCCGCACGCCCGCGCGCCCTCCACAGGCCCGCGCCAGAACGTCCGGGGCGGCGACGTCCGACGGCGCGCGTGGCGTGCGCGGAGAGCGCTTTAGCCGCCCACCACTGGCGGAGCCGGCCGGCCAGGCCCAGCCCAGCCCGGCCCGGCCCAGCCCAGCCCAGTCCAGCCCAGCCCAGCCCAGCCCAGCCCAGCCCAGCCCAGCCCAGCCCAGCCCAGCCCAGCCCAGCCCAGCCCAGCCCAGCCCAGCCCAGCCCAGCCCACCTTGAGCAGCGTCTTCCAGCGCGGGTAGTAGGGCATGTAGCGGCCAGTGATCTCGTCGCGGATCATCTCGCCGCGGTGATTGGCGCGCGGCTCCAGGAACGACATCTGCGTCTTGTCCATGACGCCCCACACGTAGGCCAGCTCGTTACACTTGCGCTTCCACGCCTGCGGGTCGGCGGAGGCGTGAGTGACGGCGACGGTGGCGCCGGCACGCGGTCGGGTCGGAAGTTACACGCGTCATGGCGTTTGGGCTAAGTGGATTAGGGGGCGCGTTAGACCAGCCAGGCGGACGACGCCGTATGAGACAGGGCACCGACGGCACAGCGCAATTCGGCGCGTGTGCTCTGGTAATGCATGTGGCGTCAAGGGATACATGGCTCTCCCTAGGATAGACAACACAAAATTCACCACACCAACTCCGCAATAACCTTAGGTGAGGCATCCAAGACATGCGAACATGTGGATGTCACGTTTCTACATCTAAACATTTATACATCAGTAAACAAGTTGGTTTATCATGGCTCAGGTCACGTTCGTCTTACGCCATAACGGACTACGATGCGTTAAGACGCCTTTCTGACGTAAGTATAGCATGGAAAATGAGCATGAAACGGCGACGAGTAAAAAAGACCCAGAAATCAAAAGGGCGCAGAAAACAAAAAGACACAGAAAACCCCTCCCAATAAAAATATTTTAACCCACATGTTTTGCACAGTGACACAAAGCATGTAAACAGGCCAACAGGCCGATACCCGGCTGAGGCCAAACCGAGACCGCACCTCCAGGAAGACGGTGACCCAGAGCATGTTGAAGAGCGAGTAGAGAGCGTACTCGTGCAGCGTGTCGACCGAGAAGAACAGCTGGAGCAGGCCCAGCGCCGCCGGACCACACAGCGCCGCCGTGTAGAAGCCCAGGAACGAGAAGTACAGCGCCACAGACTCGCCGAAGTAAGCACGAATGTCCTCTGGAGCGGGACGGGGGCCGGTATGAAACGAAGAGTCATGCAGAACGTCAAGTTGAGTTATGAAGATTTTGCAGGGGGCGGTGCAAGCGTCTCACAGTGAGCACATCTAGGAAACTTTGTTCATTTTCAGAGCGCAGAAGCCTACGTCTATTTTCGACGCGTTAACTGATCTGGGCACGTCCGTGGGTGCCAATGCGAAAGAGGGAGACACAGGTGAGGGAGGTCGTCGTTATCGTCACTGGGGCTTTACGACTCACTCAGCTGATGAGGCTGTATGGTGTCGACGCCTCTCAGCCTAGTAGGAAGGGCGGACACCGCGGTGAATCGAACCCCGTACCTCTGATTTCCCAGACATTGTGTTAACAGTGGTTGACGCAGACGCGTTAACAACTGCACTATCAGCACCATCAGGTGGCGGAGGGGAAGAAAGGCGTGACGGGTAAGAAACATGAAAACTGCAAAGACTACACCCAAAATCTATTTTGATGACCTAACTTCAACATGACACCGATGCCAAAGCTTTCCCCCAGCCCTGAGCACTGAGCCTTGGACAAGGCTCCTTTGCCACAAGCCGTCTGGGCATCCGCTGCCGTCCCAACGGTCCAGCGGCTGCCTATTAAAGGTTGCCACTTTCCCGGAAAAAGGAGCCCTGCATCCCAGCACGACTTGGAGAGCACTGCAGAGTTGGCCCCACGTCTGTACCAAACAATCAGACGGCGGCGTCAGAGCCAGGTCAACGGGCTCCGCGGCACTAAGCATCTGATACCAACGCTGCCCACAAGCATCGGCAATCCATGTGCAGAGAATGCGCTCACCGAACGGCTGACGCTGGAAGAGGGCGGCGTACCAGGACTTGCCCAGCCGGTCGAGCTCCTCCTGGTCGTGGGTGGGGAACAGCTGGACGATCACCTTCTCCTGCAGCAGCAGGCGGGCTGGGGGTGCACGGGCATCGGTCGTCACCTTACCGCGCAGACAAGGAGTGGCAGACACGGTCTGTGGGGGTCTTCGTCACCACGGAACCGGACCAGCACCGGCAGCACCACAGTGTGTCACATCGCCTGACACATCCAACCTCACCGTCACGCAGCGACTGCAACACTCCAAACGCGCTGTTTCACAACCCCGCCTCCTCCCGAAATATCCCCCCGCCCTCCCCCCCCCCCCCCCCCCGATACTCACTGACACTCTGGCCGGGGTAGAGCCGGACGGCCGGATAGCCGGGCAGCCGGTCCTCAGCCGTGCGCGCGCGAATGTGCTCCAGCTCGTGCAGCACGATGCGCTGCTTCTCACACATCGTGAGCAGGCCATCGACGCCGGCCGGGCCCAGGAACTCGTCCAGCTCGGCGCACGTGAAGTCGCGCAGGTAGCCGTCGCGGTCCTTCTTGCGCATCTCCATGCGCTCGGCCGTCTCCAGCAGCTTGATGCGCGACGCCGTAAGATGCAGCACCAGACCCTGCCGGCGCGGCGGGCGGGGCGGCGGCGGGATCAGCGGGAGGGGCACCACGGCAGCTGCAGTCGCGGGAGGGGCGCCACAGCATCAGCGGGAGGGGCGCCACGACAGCTGCAGTCGGCGAGAGAGGCGCCACGGCAGCTGCAGTCGGTGGGAGGGGCACCACGGCAGCTGCAGTCGGCGGGAGGGGCGCCACAGCATCGGCGGGAGGGGCGCCACGACAGCTGCAGTCGGTGGGAGGGGCACCACGGCAGCTGCAGTCGGCGGGAGGGGCGCCACAGCATCGGCGAGAAGAGGCGCCACGGCAGCTGCAGTCGGTGGGAGGGGCACCACGGCAGCTGCAGTCGGCGGGAGGGGCGCCACAGCATCGGCGGGAGGGGCGCCACGACAGCTGCAGTCGGCGAGAGGCGCCACGACAGCTGCAGTCGGCGAGAGAGGCGCCACGGCAGCTGCAGTCGGCGGGAGGGGCACCACGGCATCGGCGGGAGGGGCGCCACGACAGCTGCAGTCGGCGAGAGGCGCCACGGCAGCTGCAGTCGGCGGGAGGGACACCAAGGCAGCTGCGAATCCGACCGCTGTGGATTGTCCGTCCGAGGCTGGACTCCGGCCCAACAGGACCCTTTCCACTATGAGACACCAGCCTGTTCCGGTCAGACAGAGGCTGGTGCACGTCTCGCCCAGCGCCTACCAGACACCAGCTCCGATCGGTCTACTGACCTTGCTCGCCAACTACGGCACAGAGACCTATAGGAATTTAATAACTTTGATATAATGGACTTCTAGGATATCTAAATAATTTCTATGTCACTCGCGAGTTAACCTGACCACCTATCACCTATCATCGCTTCCACACAGCTTCCGGGTGGCCAGAGCACCAGTCCATTCTCAACGCCATCCGGCCAAAGAAGACACGTGCCAGCGCAGCAGGCGCCGGTCGACCGACCTTGCCCTGGAGCTGGGGCTGGGCGCTGACGAGTAGCTCCGCGCCACCAGTGCGCCGGCGGCCCTGCACGCGGCTGATGTACCAGTCGACCGTGGCGGCCGGTACGCCCGCCGCGAACTCCAGCACGTACAGCGTGGGCGGCAGCGACGCCGGGTCGCCGCGGATGTCGATGTCGTCATCCGTGTCGGTCGGCTCCATCCCTGGCGGCGGAGGCGGCGCCGGTCAGCGGGGCCGCCGCTCGCGCCCGCGGGGACGGGGAGCGAGCCGTCAGAGGACAGGGCGGCTGGGCGCACAGGGTGGCTGCTGCTCTTTCCAGTGCACACGTCAGCTGGAAAGGCCGAAAAGGTGGAAAGGCAAAAGTAATTGAAGAGGCTGTAAGCTCAGAGGAGCTACGAATCATGATACCAATCATAGTGTATGTTTCTCACTGTCCTCATCAAGTCAGGCAGCAGGCAATTGCAGAGAATGTGTAACATTACATAAATATTTAATGGGTTTCACACTCTGGAGACCAGTATCAAAACATGCAAAATGTGCACTGATTTCGTGGGGTGGAAGGGTACGATTTCAGCTATCAATATTGCTTTGTATGTGCTTGAAAAGCCATCCTTTGCATGTTGTATCTCACTACATTTCTCACTTGCAACTATTGGTACGGTTTGAAGTGCAAGACCGCTTTAGACAACCTAATATCACTACTTAGTAAATATGCTCAATAAGTCAATTAACAAAACTCAGCAATATGCGTGGACAGTACATATGCCCACTGAGTCATCGCTTGATTGCGTCATGGAAATGCGTCAATGCGTGCTTTGGTTGCGTTGGTATGACTGATGACTCGTTGCCAAACTGGCCGTGCGAAATTTGCACGGTAGTGGACAGACACACTCACTTGTAGACATATTATTGCATCTTGTCAGAGAGGTATCATACTAATTGTTACGTTGTTTGAATAACCCAAATATTGTCACACACCCGGGTTTTGGCTCTTTCTTGTAGGGTTGTCGTATAAATGAACATTTTATTATCATAAAAGTTTTTAAAACCAAAATATTTTATATTGTTTACTTGCATTGGCATACTTAATTTAGGCACTATCCCTAAATACCTTGATTTCTAGTCCCATTTTTGTAACATACCATGTCAATGTCTGTGCTACTGCATTACATCACACAAAATGTGATTTGTGTTTAAAATTTGCATGAGATGCATCACCTTGATCTAGGGCCAATTGAAGTCGGTTGATGCCAGAAATCATGCTGGTGTACATTTGATGCCAATCAATCCATGATATTTCTTCTGCTGGCCTTGAGCACTGCATTGCTAACAACGTGCCAATATTCCAATGGGCTTTTTTGATGCTATTCAGGCCTGGGTGACCTTGAAATAAAATGCATGTACCAGACAGCACAAGATCAAGGCATCAAGGTCAGAAGCAGAGGGTTTTAAGTCCTAAAAAGGCAGAGCTGTGAGCGGCACTAAATGATCTTTAAAATGACTGTCTCAGCTCAAAACCATATACAAATGTGGAACACTCCCTTCAAGCACATTGAACTAAAGTTGCCAATCTGGAAGGCAAGAACATTTGGCAAAAAAACTACATAAAGGTCACACATATTCTCACAAGATCCCAAGACCTTTATAAAACACTGAAGGTGACAAGGATGTGAGGCATTTAATGACTGCAACAATATTTAAATTTCATCATTTAAGAATTTATTCCATCACTGTGCATTGTCACCTGACTACCATACTGTCACATCCCACTGTTAATTCAGAGTAAGGGCATTACATTTTGCCTGTAGGTCATAACATGTGGATATTGGTCAGTCAAAGTATACCTGAATTTTCATGAAATGAACCTGAATCTCAATAACTTATTACATCCATGAAAGTAACAGATCATAGATCATTTTCAATCATACTCATTAAGTGGAAAAAGAAAATGTGATAGATCTGGTACATAAAAAGGCATGATCAGGTTAAAGAATGATCACATTATGTCAGGTTAAACCCTTCACTGATGAGTGCTACCAGGTTAATTTGCATATTCCAAAAAGCTTATTGCACATACATGTTTCCAAAGTAGTTATAATCTAGCCCTGCATCATAGCTGGAATGACTTATAATTACAGTTGTCAAGGTAAATATCATAATAGTAGATGTGACATGACATGAAAACAAATGACAGATCACCCAGACAAAAACATAAATCTACACGAATTTCAAAGAAGACAATCCAAAGCCAATCCAAACCCAGGCAGATAAGTATGGCCTGTGGGGAACATGGACAGAACCTGGCAGAGGGTAGCACTTAATTCAGGGCCCAGGCCAGGCAGAGGCAATGTTTAAGGTCAATTTAAACCAGAAGGCAGGATGGACCATGCCAAGTATTGTGTGGCAATTAAAACTTCTGCTCCATAATTCTGTTTTTGACCTGGAATGCCATGATGGATAGAAGGAATCATGCTCACATGACAAATGCTACTTGGCATGTACTATGAACCCTGAAATCCATCCATTCAGAAGTTAAAATTGAATCTAACAAATTATGCAACACAAGCTCGGGCAGCCCACACCTCACATCTCAATTGGGTTACATTGCTCTTCCACCAGCATGAAAATTGTGCAATATAAAAATTGCATGGGGCATGACATGAGTCTGTGTCCATTCTCAATATACGCTCAATAAAACACAACTCCAGGGGCGCACGATAACTTCCCAGCTGCGCATAGTTCACTACCTTCATGATCCTCATCCAGATCTGGCAGAAACATGTTGCTCAGCTCGGCAGAGCAGTGCGTAGCACCTTATTAACACAATCTGCCTTATAGCCCTCCAATAAAGTTACAGACAGATGTTTCAACCCCACACGCGGACCCCAACACCCAATCCGGCACCACCCGGCCACGTTATCAGTATAACCACCGCCCACCAAACAAAGTTCAAGGTCGCTTTTGTTTACCAGTAGTGAATGCAACGAGCCTGGTAGCAAAATAGTAAAACCACGGTAAAATAAATTGTATTTTTCAAAATAGACTTATTAATTACTAGAATTAATACTTCAACAAAAAAATAATTGTCATCTATTCAGTTATTATTCAAAATTATGGCACTGTCGTTGCTTTTTGCTCAAATATTGCTTGTGTCCTTCAGCATTTAAAGTTAAATCCAAGGCCACAGAGCATGTAAAATCTGTGCGCACTGCCATTTGTCGCCTTCGCGCCGATAATGACGCCGGTCACTTGCACTCTAACCTACTGCCACCAGGATAACGAAAGGTTATCACGTTTCGTTATCCTAGTTCCACCAGGATAAAGCCACTAGGCTAGTGGCTCTAAAGCGTAAGTGTCGTCACACAGGGGCGGATTCATGATTTCGTCAAGGGGGAGGCACGCGACGTTGTGGGACCCCTGGAGTTTGGGACCTTCTCCAAAAATATCCCTGCATTTTGGTCCGTACATTTTAAGACAAGTTGTGTGTAGCATATATATATATATATATATATATATATATATATATATATATATATATATATATATATATAATGCTGTAGTTTTGAGGCTAAGTGTTTTGAAACAACTGTAAAAAATTAACTCGAGTTAACTGCTAACAACCATCAAAACCAAGCATGGACTTGATTCCTAGCCTATGTTTTTACGGCTAGCCGGCTGGGCGAAGTAATCAGTTGACGGCTGATGACTAATGCAGATTTTTTCCTCTGTTATAAAGGAGTGCAACAAATCCTAGCATTCGAAATATGTTAAGAACGTGATGTACTAGAATAATAAGTATCACACGCTCAACAGCTAACGAAAATGACACATACGACATCAGCGGCCTGTAAAATTACGCTCGGCAATTGCGCGTAAAAATTCATCGGCGCATATTCCACCGCTGCTCTGAGGCGAAGGCGCCAAGGCCAGTAGGGACGAAACCTGAGCGATCATGGGTGCCGCAAGAGGCCAACAAAGTGGCCCCTGTCAACAAGTATAGGGTCCGCAGAGCGAGCAAAAAGAACCCAAGACCAACGTGGTGGGTCCATGAACGACCGGTAGTGCCCTGGTGGACTGATATATAAAGCCCCGGCCAGAGCACAGAACCTTCCGAGCGAAGGGGAATTATCCAAGACCATGAATTAATGCACCTGTCCGATCAAGAGTGCGCGGGCGGGTTAACCACGCGAGCCTCGATACGAGTGAAGAGTCCTCCGCAGATGAGACAAAAGGGAGAGAGCCCTCGATCAAAGTAGATGGCCCCTGAGCATCGAGTGTCTCCGTGCCTTACCTCATAAAAGCCTTAGCAACAACGCAAGGCCTTCCAAGCAAGCAGGAAAAGCCCGAGACTTAAATGAATCGCCCCTAAGCAACTGAGTGTGCCCTGGCATATGGGGCCTGGAAAAAAGTGTAAACAGCCCTTCGGACGAATGGGGAGAACCCGTGGACGAAAACCTGATCGATCAACAGTGCTCAGGCATGGGGGCAGATAGCGTCCCAACGGCACATTGGGCCCTGCGAGAAAATGCAAAGAGATCAAGGACAACGTGGAAAGCTCCTTAGCGATCAGATTGACCCGGCAAGTGGATATATAGGGTTAGGAAACCAACAGCACAATGGCCCTAGACAACGTAATGAGCTGGATGATTTTCCCCAAACAACACTTTCTCAATCAGCCAAGAAAAAAATGAACTTGTATTTTATGAACTCTTTACTTTGCTAACAATTGTTCTTGGTCGTCTGCGGTCCCAAAAGTCTCCATTTTTTGTTGCGTATTTGTTTTTTGCTTTATTTGTTTGCGCAAAAATTTCCAATTTTATTGTGTTTTTGTTGTAAGAAAGCTGCGCCCGTCCGGCCGATTATGGGCCCCTTCGAAGCCTTCAGGTGCTCTCGGCATGCTCCATGAGGTAGGGTCCTGTGCCTCCCCCTCAGCATCCGCCACCGGCCCCGAGCAGCTTAATAGATAGGGCCCGTCAAGAACATAGGGCCATCCATCCAAAAAATAAATATTCACGACACAATGTGTAGGGCCCTGAGCAACCGAGTGTGCCCGAGCAGTCTGACATATAGGGGCCCCGTCAAGAGTGTAGGGCCTTCCATTTAAATAGGAAGTACCCAAGACACAATGAAGAGCGCCTCCAAATGTTCGAGTGTGCCCGAGCAGGTTAACAAATATTGCTCCCAACAAGAGCGTAGGGCCCTC